TTGTGTTAACCTTTTCAGTACCAGCAACTCAATTTATACAGTAGGAAAATTATTGACATCCAAACAGATTAACCACACAGTAAAACTGAGAACTGTCAGATGTTATTCACTTTTTTTAGCAGACGACCAAGCCCTCATAGCAAGAGCAAAAGCACAAAAATTAACATTCAAACAAAAAAGCTTACGACTATTGCAAGGACAGAACAACCAATCAAGATATGCACAGAAGACCAACAATTCAAGCAAGCAAACGACTTCAAGTATCTAGGGATCATAATTTTATCCAAAGGAAAAATGGAAGTAGCAATAGAATACATATGCAATAAAGCAAATCTGAAAACTGTACAGATGTCACTAATTTCAAGAACAAACATGCAACGTCTGACACCAAACAAGCTATTCTATACAATATTTTTACCAATATTCTGTTACCAGTGCCAAACATGGTAATTACAACACACACAAAATTAACACAGTAGGAATGAAATGTCAGTGACCAATCCTAAATGTAATTAGAAGAGAAAGGTTCAGGAATGACGTTATCAGGAAATATGTGTGGGATGGAACCAGACCAAGAGACAACAGATTAAATCGCCAGACATGTATGAAGACTACCACCGGACAGTGCACCACAAAGAACCTTATCACTCAGGCATAATGGAAGCAGATCCAGGGGTCGACCACGCATGTCAGTAAATTCCAGTCTGGCGGAGCCAGACTTTAAAAATGACCTTGACTCCCAGGTCGACCCAGCCTTGAGTGGGTACTGGGGGCAGTTCCGGGAAGTAAATGTGGCCGGCGTGATGCTGACGACATCACCCATCTTGTGCCGATTGGTTTATGAAAATATAGGTCTAGCCCTATATGCCTAAAGGCGTGGTAAAGGGACCTTTACTTTTTACTTAATATCAGATGAACTTCATTTTTTTTTTTTGCAACTTTAACCCATTCTGCCCCAGCTTAACTCTAATCTCATCTGCCTCACAGTTCTATTATTTTAACTCATTAGGACTTTCAGACAGGCATCCCAAATTAAACAGATGTTAGGACTGAAAGTCTTTTAGTATTGGTATTGAAAATATATGAGGAGCAGCTTGTGAAGTGGTAAGAATGCTGGGCTTAATGTACAACTGGCTCAATGCACAACTGACTCAATGTACAACTGACTCAATGTACAACTGGCTCAATGTACAACTGGCTCAATGCACAAATGGCTTAATGCAGAACTCTTGCCTGCATTTACGCCTGCATCAGTTCTGAGAGCAGACTGCAGCCCTAATGGAAGAATGATCTGTTGCAATCAAAGTCTTTTACATACCAAACATAAGCCAATGGCTTCGTGCACAATATACTCACAGCAATAAAAATAAAGCACAATTTAAAAGATGGTAATAGCATCAACAATGTATTTGATTCAACATCATCAACTACAATATTATTAATAGATTTCAGCACCTGATCTTCTTTTTGTCATGTACCCTCCAATGGAGCACAGGTTCTCAACTGACTATAAGTTTTCCTTTTTTTTGGGACATCATTTACAGCTCATTCTATGTCCTCTGCCACTTTATCCTCCTAGTCACTATTTATCTTCTGCAATTAGATAGGATACAAAGCATGTTAAGAATTGTGGAGACAGGCATTCTCCGTGCAGAATAGCAAGCATCGCTTCAGAGGACCTGGGTATTTAGCGTTCTTTAGACATTTTCTCCAAGTCGTGCAGGGTTGTTGGCAAATAAACAGGCAGAAAGGTTGGTTGGTTCTGCAGCAAAGGGTGGTAAACATGACATGCTAGATGTAGTCAAGGCCCCTTGGGAGCAAGTGAAAAATGTGCAGGCATAAACAGATCATTAGGAAATGGAGAGAATGGTGTAGCTAGGAGTGACCAGTGACACTCTACACTCAGAGGAACGGCAAGATGGACATACAATCAAACTGCTTCTAGCACCATCAGAACTGAAACCCTGTGCTTCCTGCTGAAGATGAGGACGGAGCACTTAGGGGAATGTCTGGAGTGACATGATGTCAGTTTTTAGCTTAATACAAGACTATGGACACAGCTGATGTTTTAAGGTCTGCCATGAGCTCTATTCATTTTTTAAGCCATTTAAAAAAAAAAAAGAGCCAGCCTATATTATAATCGCCAAAACAATGTGGGCCTTCTGTCCCTGAATGGGGCATGGGCCCTCAGCCAACTAACACCAAGTCATTCTATCCTTTGCATTCCCCATCTTTTCAACTCCACTCTCTAGCTCCCTTCTTTATTTTGTTTTTGTTTTTTTGCCAGCCTTTATTACTATGTCTCTGTGGGTTCCAGTGCAAATATATTCTAGTTATATTGCTTTTACGGTTTTCTCAACATGTGTCCTATCCAACGCCAGCATCTTTTCTTCATCTCTGGGTCCATTTGAACTTGTTTAGTTCTCTCCCAAAGCTCAGAATTAGTGATTCTTTCATACCATTTAATTCCCTCTATTCTGTACAGCCGCCAGTTAATGAATGTCTGTAGTTTAGTAGCAAATGTTTTAGCTGTTCTTCATGTTTCCGCTCTATACAAGACTACTGATTTAACATAAGAATTTAAAATTTAATATTAGTTTCAATTTCTTTTGACCTCCACAAATTTCCTAGTGCAACGAAAGCTCCTCTTGCCTGTTGTATTTGTATTTTAAAATCTCTTATCAGTTCCCCCAACTCTGACTACATTACTGCCCAAACAGGTGTACCACTCCATGTCTTGGAGTGGGAAACCATTAAGAGAAACCACACCGCTATTTGTTGGTTTATTCTCATTATCTGGGGCCCTGTTAGCGCAGTGGATAGGACTCGCTTTGAAATCTCGCTGCAGCCCACGGCTGGTGTTTGAAACCAAGCGGTTCCCAGGGTTTACCCAGCCCCTAGGTAATGGGTACCACAGTTATCATTTTGGGGTAAATGGAGGAACGCCGCTGTAGCTACAGAGTTGCATGCAGATGGCGACACAGGCAGACAGTTTCTTATCAGCTGTCCGTACTGGTGGCAGAGCAATTATAGTTTATAACCGCGTGCAACGACGCTGGTTCGCATCTGTTGACTTGACTTTTTTTTTTTTTTAATTCTCCAAATTGTTGTTTTACCCTTATGGATCATGTTATCACAGACCCCTTAAATCTGTTAAATTGGGAACCACTGTCTTTCATAGGCATGTACAGGAACAAAGTTCTACATGCATTTAGAGCCATCCATACTTGTGTTGAACATTTTTTTTTAAACCAAAGACAGCAACAACACATCATCCAATTAGAACAATCAACATTCTAAAACGAGTGTTTCCAAGCAACATGTTCTTCCGCAAGTGAATGAAATAATAAAAAAAAATTATATGCCATCTCCGTAATGAAGGTTGGCCACAGTAAAATCACTGCTGTCTTTGAGAATATTGCATGGTGGTGCAACAATCTCTTCCACGACTCTCGTAACTCCCCCTTTTTTTTGGTACTGTTTCCTATGGAAATCTAACCCTAGTACCCGAGGACCATAAAACTTAAATGCATTCACTAAGCCACCCATTCACAAAGGATACATTTTTATCTAGAACTCGCAAACAGTACTTATCTAAAGATGCCCCAAGTTAATTCTTTCACCCCAAGGATAGGGGACGCCCAAACCAGTTTTTAGGAGGCCACTTATTTCTAAAAAGACCAGAGAGAGGCGTGGGGTCTCATATGAAAAAAATTTCCCTTTTAGTAGTATTCAATCAATCAACAGGTGCCGTCTCCACAATGAAGGTGACTGCAATGTCTCAACAAGCCCTATCTCTTGCCCTTGATGTACACTCACTCATACTGCTGTTCGGATCTCTTGATGTTATCCTCCCTGTTGTGCTGTCTGCCTTTTGCGCACCTTGACCTTTTAGGATGATCTTTACAATACGGATGTCTTTTAATGTGATATTTCACTTGTCTCTTTTTTATTTCACTAAAAATCTCTTTCATTCCCATTTCCTCAGAGATAGCTTTTGTTTCCATGAAATACGGGGTCTTCATATCTCCAAAAAAAGGATTTTCCCTTTAAGTAGCATTATGATGTACTAAAGTGGATAAAGAGTTGCCCCAGCATTAAACAGGAACCGGAATATTTCCTGGGAAGTAAAGGTTTCAGCATAAAGCTGCTCACATCAGTCATTGAATGCTGACTGGTCCATAACAATATGGGTCTAGCTCCTTACACTTGATGCGCCAAAGACGTGAGAATGTCTACTTTTTTATAAGCTTTAACTCTTAGAGTCCCAGGGGGTTTAGAAACACAGGCCCAGGGGGTAGTAAAGAAAGTAATAAAATCGGCGCATCATGCGTTCATTGGGCTTTTAGGTCAGAACCTATGAACGTATGATGCGTTCCTTGGGACTCAAAGAGTTAATTACGTTCGCGTTTATAAATTTTAAAAACAGAAACGGTGGCAAGAGAAACTGGCTTTATTTGAGGAAAATATCAGGTGAGAGAGGCGAAAGAAGATGAATGTGGAAAGTTTAAACAGTTGGGATAAGAATGTCCACAATTGGAACCCACAAGGTCACAGAGAATAAATGCAGGTATCATCAATACTGTATGGAGCAGGTTAGTTGACAATAACGAATCCCGGACCCTAAAACCATTGAGTGACACTGGAGTAAAGCATGGTGAAACATATCTGTGCCGCCATCGAGGCCGATATTGTTTTATGTTCTTGCAATCTCATGTACTGTCTCCCAGTTCTTCCATCTATTCATTCTCACACATCAGTATGTCAGTCTGTCTGTCATAAATTATATGCATAATGTGTGCAGGTGTCTGTCGTGTTGATTCTAGCATATCTGACCAGCCAGATTATTCTGGTTTAATCACGTTTGATTTCTGCATGTGAAAACCTGCCTCTGATTCTGTCGACAACACCTGAATGGTTTATAAATATCTTCACATTGTCAATCTCCCAATCACAGTAAAAGTCAAGGTCACGTCAGAGGCACAACAATGAGGTCATGGTCACATTACGGCACACTGCGATGGATCTTGTGAGCTTCCCAAACCCCCCATTCCTGGAAACTGAAATCAAAAAGATTTTGAAAAAAAAAAATATTATTAAACAGACAGAATTTTAAAAAAAAGTACAGATTCCCTTTTCACGCCTTTAGGCGCATCGGGTATATGGGAAGAGCACCCATATTTTTTCAGACCATCGGCACTAGGTGAGTAATGTGGCCAGCATTACGCCGGCCGTCTCTACTTCCCCAGGACAATCTCTTATAGGTTTACAGTGGTTTATCAGAGAGGTTCACTGGTGCTGCACCATCAGGGAGAATTTTCTTCAAAGTTGGAGTGTCTCTGCCTAAGTGGCAAGGAACCAACAGTCTGCATACAGATTAGCCAGATCTGTAAAAATGCAATTTACTGCCAGCAACTGCTAATAAAAAGAAGATAAAAGATGGCAGAGTGGATGGATATCATCACCAGCAAGTGCATTTCTGACTAGCATGGTTGGTCATACTACCTGTGACCTCTAACAGCCCGTATGTGACACACTGACTTTCCATGTGTTCCGGGCTCTCATCTTTCCCGACAAAATAATAGAACCATTGCCCCCTATCAAGTACATCGTAAGACAGGGCTTTTCAGCTGGTGGCCCAGGGGTTAAATCTGGCCCGCTGTGGTCTAGCAAGTGGCGCGCCCTGGACGATATATTTGTTAGGTAGGAGGTGACTAATTAGGGGTGTTTCCTTCAAAGTTGAATTGAATTGAGTCAAGAACTGACATCACAGCACTCGGGGCATTCCCATGTGCTCCGTCCTCATCTTCAGCAGCCAGCGCAGAGTTCCAATACTGATGGTACCGGTCACAATCTGGATATATATCAGTTTTGCCTTTCCTCTGAGTGTAGTGAGCCGGCCAGATCCTCTGGTTACACCCAGGTGCCTTATTCTCTCCATTATGCCTGAGATGCAAGGAACCAACAGTCTCCATTCAAATAAGCCAGATCTGTAAAACAGATGTACATACAAAACTTTAAGTTCTAGATCAAGACCACAGTCCAGGAGTGGACAAACAACCAGAACTTTCTACCAGAGTTTATAGTCAGTGAATGCTAAGAAGAAACAAAAATTACAAATTCTGGAATGTGCTCTACCTAAAAAATTAATTTTTAAAAAATATAAAAAAGTGCAGGCCTGCCAGGAACTTGGAATCTTCTAATCTTGTCAACCAGCACAGCATTATTAGCCATAGGGCAATGATGTGATGTGTGGTGGGAGTCTGAGCACCTGCTGATGTTTCCACAGTGCTATAATGAGTACAATTTTACTGAAAACACTGTTACCATAAGTAGAGTCTGCCTGCTATGGAAGAGACCCAGAAGTAAGTGTATGATTCTCACTGAAGTTTTTGGGGTCCGATTGGGTGGGTTGGAGAAATAGAGAAAGGACACAGCTACAGTCCATTCATGTGGTAGGAATCTGAGCACATCCTGATGTTTCCACAGTGTTATAATGAGTACAATCTTACTGGAAACACTGTTTGTTACCCTAAGTAGAGTCTGCCTGCTACGGAAGAGACCCAGAAGTAAGTGTATGATTCTCACTGAAGTTTTTGGGGTCCGATTGGGAGGGTTGGAGAGATAGAGAAAGGACACAGCCACTGTCCATTCACAGGCATATTGTAAAACGCTACCAATTTAGGGTCTAGCCAAATTGGGCTGACAGGCAAAGATAATGCAGACTGGCTGCAGCTTACAATGTGACAACTGCCCTTGCATAGGCAAATAGAGAAGAAGAATCTCACTCACCTGACCCATGTTTCCAAAGTCACCCAAGTTAGGCATCATCATGTTTCCTTCCCCTACAACTTCTGTCGGTGGATTTCCCAATTCATGCATCTAAATAACAATGAGAAGAAGAAAAACAACATGTTTCATTGCAGATGTTGTCATCATTTTGGTTATTTCAACAACAAACATTGTGTAGTGGCATAGAAATACCATGGCTTGCAAACACCCGGGTTCAATTTTGAGTAGTGACACCATTTTGTTCTATGACATGCATCTGTATATCTAAAGGACTTTGAAAATGGTATTTACCTCTAAATCTAAAGGACTTTGAACATGATAGTTACTTTTAATCTAAAGGACTTTGAACATGATAGTTACTTTTAATCTAAAAGACTTTGAACATTAAATTTACCTCTGTATCTTAAGGACTTTGAACATGAAATTTACCTCTGTATCTTAAGGACTTTGAACATGAAATTTACCTCTAAATCTAAAGGACTTTGAACATGATAGTTACTTCCAAATCTAAAGGACTTTGAACATGAAATTTACCTCTAAATCTAAAGGACTTTTGACATATTTACCTCTCAATCAAAAGGACTTTAAACATGATATTTACCTCTATATCTAAAGGATTTTGAACATGGACTTGGACACATCATATTTACTTCTATATAAAGGACTTTGGAAATGGTACTTGCTTCTATATCTAAAGAATTTTGGATTGACATGGCATTTGCTTCTATAAAAAGGACTTTGGAAATTGTATTTGCTTCTATATCTAAAGAATTTTGGATTGACATGGTATTTACTTCTATATCTAAAGGACAGGAGTTTTGACATGTACTTTTAAATCCAAAAGACGTCGGACACTGTATTTGCCTGTAAATCTAAAAGACTTTGCCTCAAAATCTAAAGGACTTTAGACAAGGTATCTGTCTCTATATCGTAGTTCTAAAGGACAGGAGTTATTTCTTCTTCTTCTTCTTTCGTTCGCATGAAATAAATTGTCTATATCTGCAAAGCTGTCTCTAGTATGAATTTCACTGTCTTTTGTAATTCACTAAGCGGCCCATAAAGTTTGACTTCCACAAGTGTCTCTTTTGGCCAAAGGTTTTGCCTGAAAGCGTTGAATCTGGGACAGTCTTGAAGGATGTGATCTGTTGTTTCAGGTGCCAGTCCACAAGTACACATGGCTGATTGGCCAATCTTAAATTTGTTGTACATGTGGGAGCGAAGTCGATTGTGCCCTGTTCTAAGGCGAAGGATAATGACTTGCTCTGGTCTGTCCATAATATGGTAATCATCTTGTGCCAGTTTCGGTGGCATTCTGATTGATTTGATCATTCTCTTCTTCTGTTGATAAGAGACTGGTATGTTAGGTTGTTCTTCAGTTGCACCTTCCTTAGCTAGTTTATCAGCTTTTTCGTTTCCGGGAACTCCACAGTGGGAAGGTATCCACTGCATTACTAATTTACAGCGGTTGCCTAGTTCGGATAATAGTGTCCGTATGCTTGGTAATTTTCCAGACTGGAGTGACTGAAGTACTGCTTTTGCATCTGTCAGGAATACCACTGGTTGTGAAAAATACCCTGTATTTAGTAGTTTCTCTGCCGCTATCTTGATGGCTTGAACTTCTGCATCATAGTTGTGACAGTGCTTTCCCGTTGGTAATTTGGCTGTATCCCTGGTATTATTAGGATACTCAATGTACACTCCCGCACCTCCGTTTCTGACTGCGCTTTCTGCTGACCCGTCTGTGTAAACACGGACCCAAAGGTTCTGCGGGTATTCATCATCAAGTAGACTGAGGGTGGCTGTTTTGCGCTGCACACTGTTTTGTTCTTCCTTGTCAAATACCCCTTTCACTTCAGTCTTGATGTGTATTGGAAACTTATACTCCTCTCTCCAGGGGGTCCGTTCTGGGACAGCATTTAAGGATCTATCAGTTGCAGGTAAATCAGTGGTTTGTCTGCCGAGGCGTTTGGCCTGGTGGATAAAAACTACTTCTCTTTAGTCGTCCCAAAGCTAAATTTTGGAATCTTTCATTCATAGGGTGACTGGGCATACTAAGAAACTTTTCTGCTTGTAAAAGCATCTTGGTGTCTCTGCGTTCACTCAGTGCTTGGGTCATCCCCATTTTCTCCATCACAGCTATAGGTGTTGATTTCATACTGCCTGTGGTAACTCTGAGTGCTTGATTTTGTACTTTGTCTAATTCTTGCAATGTGGTTTTTGATGCCGAACTCCATGCTGTTGATCCGTATTCAAGATGTGGTCGAACACTTTGTTGGTAAACTTTTCTAAGTATTTTCCCGCTAGCACCCCATGTGGTTCCACTTAGTTTTCTCAGAATGGCTACCCTCCTTCTGGCTTTGGTTGCTGCCTTGTTGATGTGTTTTCTCCATGTTAATCTATCATCAAACGTTACGCCGAGGTATGTGGGCTCCTTATCCTCTCTGAGGTACTCCATTTATGTGCATGACACCTGATTTTTGTTTAGGAGAAAGGGTAAAGAGGGTGGTGCTGCATTTGCCTATGTTGATGCTGACACACCATTTGTTGGCCCAATCAGCCATTACATCTATGGCTCTTTGTAGCAGCCTGGTGGCCACTGTCGCATTTTCATTTGTACACCAGAGTACCAAGTCATCAGCATACATTGCAGCTTTAATTCCACGGGGTAGTTCAGAAAGCAGGTCGTTGATATAGACTAGGAAGAGTGTGGGGGACAGAACACCTCCTTGTGGGACGCCATGGCGCAGCAAAACTTTCTTACTCTTAAGTCCATCTATCTGTACTCGGGATCTTCTGTTATACAAGTATGCTTTCACCCATTTGTACATTCTCCCATTCACCCTGCAGTCTCTCAGTTTCTTCAGTAGACCTTCTTTCCAGACCTTGTCAAAGGCTTTCTTCAGATCTATCCATGCCGTTAGCACTAGCTTCTTTTCCTGGAAGGCATCCTCAATTTCTTGTGAAAGGTAAGTTGTCTGGTCTTCTGTGGAGTAGCATTGTCTAAATCCTGCCTGCTGCGCGTGAAAATGTTTTCACTTTCCAAGTACCATTGGAGTCTAAGGTTGACAATACGTTCCATTGTTTTACAGAGGCAGCTGGTAAGACTGATCGGTCTATAGCTGGAGGCATCAGAACTGTCCTTTCCTGGTTTAAGCAGAGGTATTGTGATTGCTTCTCTCCATATTTGAGGAACTTTGCCACTGGTCCAACAATGATTAAAGATCTGTAGCAGCTTTTTTTTTTGCAGTTGTTCCAAGGTTCTTGATCATTTCGTTGGTGATACCATCAATTCCAGGTGATTTTCCCATTCTCAGCTTTGATATTGCTAACTCTAACTCGCTGGATGTAAGTGCTGCCACCAGTGCCTCAGGAATTATATCTTTTTGTCTTATATGTTGTTTGTTTTCTTGAACCTCTCGCTGTTTCTCTGGGCTGACATTAATGTTGCTGTCTTCTGCAAAGGAATCTGCAAAGTGGTCAGCTGCCTGTTTTCTTGTTAGGATGGCTCCCTCTTTGCATAGTGCAATATTACCATTTCTTCCTGTATTCTCATCATTAATTTGCTTAATTAACCTCCACAACTTCCTTGTGTCTCTTTCAAAGTTTAGAGACTTTGTCTTTTCTTGCCAGCTTGCCCGTCTAGCCTGCAGTTTGGCTCTTTGAAATTTGGCCTTTGAATGTTGGTAGTTGTTAAACTGCTCTTGACAAGGTCTGGTCTCAGCTTGTTTTCTTTCTGTTTCCATATTGTTGTGCAGTTGCTTCAGATCGCAATTCCAGTACGGTTTGTATTGTTTACGCGCACCTCTTGGAACTGCTTCTAGGGCTGCCTGCAGCATGCGTTTGCTCAACTCTTGGACTACTTTTTCTACGTCGTTATCTGTGTTTAGATTTTCCAGCAGAATATTTGTGCGAAGCTGATACAACTTCCAGTCTGCCTTCTTAAAATTCCACCTTGGCAGTGTGCTGCTCTCTCTTACAGACTGGCTTTCGATAGTTAGAAAGACTGGCCGGTGGTCACTGCCTCCTAGTTGCTTCCCAACAGTTTCTGGTAACATTCAGTTCCATGTCTGCTGAGTGAAAGGCTAGGTCTGGTGTCGAGGTGGTATGCCATGCTCTAGAGTAGAAGGTTGGTGGGTCGGTTGGCTTATTAACGAGGATGAACCTATTCTCGTCCTGCCAGTCCTCTAGTTTCTCTCCTCTCTGGTCCATATGATCGTAGCCCCAACTTTGGGAATGGCTATTAAAATCCCCACAAATGATCATTTTTTCATTTATTAGTACTGTATCCAGTGCCTGAGGGCGGTCGCTCGGACAGTAATAGTTGGTCAGATGTAAATCTGTATTTTCTAACTTGAGCTCAAGTGTTTGATACTCAGCACCTTCCATGTATGTTTCGATCCGGCCCGCAAGGATGTTATTTTTGACCAGGGTAAGAATTCCACCTTTTCTCCTGTCTTTGCGGTCAGATCGGAAACACTGGTAGCCTCTGATCTTAAAGGCCATATCTTGTTTGAGATACGTCTCTTGTAGGCAGCATACATGTACATTCTCTTCGTTCAAGACGTTTTCTAATTCTAATTTCTTAGTATTTACTCCTTCCGCGTTCCAGTGCATTATTTTAAGGCTAGCTGTATTTTCTGCTTTTCTGGTTCTACGGGGCATAAGGGGGAGGCTTCGAGTATTTGAAGCTGGACTCTTTCTTCTTGTCTTAGGCCGGTAAATCGAACCACGTGTACGTGAGTGGGTCGCATGGTGGAAATCAAACTTATTTGCAGATATAGAAATATTCCCTGTTGCGTTTGTGCGTGGCATCCTGATTGCTGTGGTGCGCCTCCTGGCTGGTTGCCTCCGACTTCAGCACCTTGTTTTGCTAGAGTAGACTGGGGTCTTACCCGTGGACTCCCATGTTTATAATGGGAGCGTGGCTGCTACGCGGTTACATTATCGGAATTAGGACACGGCCGCCGCCGTGGCTATTTTGTGGAAATAATTCCGTTATAAAACCCCTAAACCACATAATACTTGTATCCACGAACAAGAGAATATCCATCGTCAATGAATTCGTAATAATCGCACTTTGTTATCAAGAGAAAAACACAGATTAAGTGAAAATTTTAGAATAAAATCGAGTGTCGCCGCAAACACATCTTCACGCTGCCATTTCTAAACCGGAAGTCGACAGGAGTTATGACATGTACTTCAAAATCTAAAGGACTTTGGGAATGGTACTAGCCTCCCTATCTAAGAACAGAAGTTATGCCATGTCTGTGTATATCTTTGTGATTTGTGAAATGCTCTCATAGGTTATAAACCTCTTTACAGAGGGAGAGAGAGAGAGAGAGAGAGAGATAGAGAGAGAAAGACAGAGATAGACAGCAAGCTATTCAAAATAGAACAGTTGTTCCTGATTGTGGCATTGTAAAGCAGATTAGTTTGTTTCTTGTTCTGGATATTTTTCCATTAGATAAAACTAACAGTGCTGTGCCACAAACGGAAGTGATTAGATTTTGCATTCATGGGACAATAGTGTTAACGAGCATGTCATAAAAGGCGACTAATTAGAAATCTGCTGAAATCAAAAATTGAGCTGAAAGGAGCAGATATCACAGCCTAGTTGTAAACCACAAAACAATGTACCAACTGCCATTTTAAAGGCAAATAAAAAAGAACACAAATCTAATCATACCAAGACTGGCTCTACAACATAGTTAGATTGTAATGTTGCTATTCTTTGTTTTTCATATTACTGTGTTAGCAACTTTAGGACAGTGTTCCACTGTGCTACAGGTAAGCGTGAGAATTACTGTGAAGTATCTCCTCTCAGTAACATCAAGCATGGGCAGTATTACAGAGGCCAAGTGTTGTCCAGGCATGATGATCCCTCTCTCGGATGGCTTTGTTTACTCTGCATGCTTAAAAAGTTGCCACATAAAAAAAAAATAGCAGTGCTCTTTCTTTCTGCCTGTTTGAGCTTCACTCCCTGACCACCTGCCAACCAAGACTAATGCCGATAGGTCACCCTGCCAAAACATTAAGTTTTCAGGATGTATTTTTGCTCTTGCTTCTCACAAAGGCCCCAGTCACACACAGGTGGCTTCAAAGAACACAATTAAGATTCTTAGTTAACTTTCTGTCTCTCTTTCAGTGACAATGCACATACTCACCCGTTGTAATAAATCTAAAAGAACTTCGAATCTTGCATTCTTCTCCTCCTCGCTGTGTTGCTCAGAGTCCCCGTCAAGATGCACAACCACCTTCTCAATGATCTCCAGCTGTTTGCTGTATGTGGTAACTTTCTCTGCTTCCAGGCTGCTTTTGTTTTTCTCCAAGTAGTCTTTGTACTGCAGAAGAGTATGGGATCATGTCAGTTGTGACGGCCAAATTAGACAATGCTGAGACTGAATTAGACAACAGTGAAATTAAGATAGACAATGCTGAGACTGATAAAGACAAAACTGAGATTGAATTAGATAGTGCTGAAATCTGATTAGATAACTATGAGACTGAGTTGGACAATGGTATGACTAAATTAGACAATGGTACATCTGAATTAGACGATGGTGGGATATGATTAAAAAACACACACATTTGCATGAGATATCACTGAAATTCGAACTGGACAACAATGAAATCTGAATCAGATAATGTAAAGATTGAAATAGACAAAACAGCAAAATGTAAGTAATTGTAAAGATAAAGAGGTATGAGGTTTGAACAACGGATCAACATCATGGCACAAGGGTAGTAACCCATAAGTGCTCCGTTCTTCATCTAACTCAAGTATGAGTCTGAAGAAGCTCAGCACAATGCACAGGCTCTGTAGCACTGGCAAGGATCCTTAAATACTTTGGGTAGATTTTTAACCACCTTTTTTTAAACTAAAAATTTTGCCCAGGCAGCACAATTAGGCTACTTTTTTCGATTTCCAAATGCCAAGGGCTTTTTTTTACATGCGCAACAATGCACACGGGCGTCTGATCTCACCACCCAGAGACCAGGGGGAATAACTAGAAGTCCAAGTCCACGTGAAAAAAAATCCCAGCCCTTACTGGGGACTGAACCCGGAACCTCTAGCACTCGAGGCTGACACCATGTCTCGAGACGATGCAGCACCCACTGTAAAGATAAAAACTAATTAGTTAATACTGGCTGAATTAGATAGAGGATAAAAGAATAAGATTATAGAGACTGGCCTCACAACCACATTTCCTAGGGGAAATTAAGAGGGAGAAACGGCAGTTAGGTTGGCAATATACAATTAATAAATCAACAATAAAAAATGCATTAAAACTTGTCAGTTTTAAAATAACAAAATCGTGAGTAACAGAATGAATATTCCAGGTTTTTTTAACAGTATAAAGAGAGAAAGACATAGGCAGATGAAAGGGAAAAATATACAGAAGGAGACATCAGACTTACAGAAGGGGATGGGATTGTGGGGAAGTCACCCTCAACATAAATGAGTAGGTAAAGCACAAAAGAATCCTATAGTCTGTCAATGTTATATATCAACTAATCCAAATCTTATAACGCTTGGCTATTCCAACAGAGGTTAAAAGACAAATTATTACGTGAATTACAAAAGACAGTGAAGTTCATACTACAGACAACATTGCAGATATGGATAATATTTTTCAAGCGAACGAAAGAAGAAAAAGAAGAAATTATAACTGCAACTTTTATTCCAACTTTAGGTTATCAGTGTCAGACTTGGATATTAGCCAAAGAACACAGGACAAAACCAGGTACTTAATTTATAACTTACCCCTGACGTCACGACAACGTCATGGGAGACATTCCCAATAAAGTCTAGGGTGTTCAGGTTGTAGTTTCTCGCGATTGCTCTACAGTAAAGTTTAGTTAGGGTTAGGGTTAGGGTTAGAAGACACTAGATGAACACTCAAAAAAAGCACCACACAACAGCACACTTGCACCCCTTGAAATAATGGACTGTCAGGTCAGCTGTGGATTTCCCACGGGGATTTCCTGTTTGGGGTACGTTATAAATTAAGAACCCAAAACCAAACACTAGTGAAGTTAGATGTTTGAGAAAGGATGCAAACAAAACCAGAAGAGAATGTAGAGATTAGAAGAACTGGAACAACCATCACCATCATTGTCTTACTGTGCCATTATAAATCACGAATGGATCGCATTCTATTCCTGTGCAATTATTTCAATATCATGGATGGAATTCAGTCCACCAACTTTGACCTCTTTCAATGGTCGTTTCATTGCCTTTATTTCCCATTTCAGTGCCTGCTTGGTGCTTATGTGCTCATTTTTTCTCAGAATGTGTCCAATACAGTGCTGTCTTCTGTCTTATAACTGTGGATACTAGCGGTTGTTCAGACATTTCTCTTGTCTCTTCACCACTCTTGAATTCATCCCATTTGATGATCTCATTCTTCTCAGGAACAAAACCCACCACTAAATTTATTGAGAAAAAAAGACTGAAAGGGTTCTGCCATCTGAACACCTGATGTCGGCATTGAGAAAATATATAATTAAACTGGAATTACCAAGAGGCAGAGGGAGACCTAGAGGAAGTGGATTAAAGACGCCCCTGACAGCTTAAGACACCAAAACATCACAGCAGAGTAACCGAGCATGCCCTGGCTCAGTTATCTATCATCCATTAAAAGGTGATGCTTAATGGCACCAGGCAGTTAATGACAAAAGAAGATGAAAGCAAACTTCTACTTTTTCATTCCGTCTCGTGTCAGATATAATAAAAATGCAAAAGCAAAAGATCACCTTGTCAGAAACTTCTTTCAGGGGTTGATACAAGAGCTCTTTTGACAGCAACTGCTTCACCATACTCTGGAACATTCCAGACATAGCCCCTAAACCTTCTTCCGCTCCACCCAAGCCTCCACTAGCGTCTGTCCCTAGGGACTCCGCCAAGTGCTCCCAGAGCTCCTGCTGGTTTGGATCTCCCTGGAAGCAAATATGGCCCAATTTCAACAAAGATTCTGAGAATAAGGGTTACCACAGTCAAGCTAATACTTAAAATTAAAAAAAACACTTTCACCCCAGTGACCTAGAAAAAAAATTACAGTACCAGTAATCTGTAATTAGGGATCACTGAAAAATTCATTTTAAAAAATAGTTTCACGCAGGTCACACACAAAATCAGATCAAGCCCAATAAAGCACTTTTTTAAAACAAGAAAACCCATGTAAATGCTAATTTTAGTAACTAGTCATTAAGTCCACATAAACATGTGCAAAGGGCCAAGCAATAACAGCTAGACATATCATGAACAGGCCTCTAAAGCCAAGTGGGAAAAGTGACTCTCTAACCGAACTGGACCAAACCAGAAGTGTCAGTTTTGCAGCCTCTCTGGAAAACAGGGTTAATGTAACTAGGTGACCTACCCAGTCATTATTGATTCTGCTATTTTGTACATTGATAAAGATGAGTTAAAACATTTGGTTGTATCAACTCCTTACCCCCTAAAATAATTTTTTCAAGTTTGTCGTCAACTGAAAACTACCTTTATTTTCGCACAGCTTCTCAAACCGCTTTAATCCATACATTTTCTCTTTTTGGTTCTGCAGCCCAATTTTCTTCTTCTTCTTCTCCACCTGTAACTCCAGTGGAAATGTTCTCCGGCCTTCAGTATTATTCCAGAACCAGCATGCTGAGTGCACATCCATTTCACAGATCTGGCTTATTTGTATGCTAATTGTTGGTTCCCTGCCTCTCAGACAGATGCACTCCGTCTTCAAAGGAAACCACCAATCAATCAACTCTTACAACAAGCTTATTCTTGTTTTCCCTATAATCGGGCCCTGGAACCCACATGGTGAGGGCCCCATTTTGAAAGGAAAGAAAGAATAAACCTCCCCTCCCCTCCACCCAACATACATGTTGTAAAAGACAACTAAATAAGAGTTCATTTAAATCGAATGTGCTCGGCAAAAAAGGTGCAGATATCAAACACAAACTGTCTGCGTCTAATTTTTCTAATCACATTACATTTATCAACTGTCTTGAACAGGACAGCGTCAGTTTTTTCTATCGCTCTGTAATATCGTTTGCATTCTTCTCAAAAATTATGGCTCTGATGCAAGTAAATGTTTTTTCTATCATTTCAAGATAATCTTTGCCCCTTCTCAAAAACCATATCTCCAATGTAAGTACATATTGGTCAGCTTGTCTGTTTAATGTCCATGTCTCACATGCATTTACAAAAATGTTTTTTTTTTAAAAAGCACATAAACACTTTTTATAATGAATAGGCTAACCTGTAAATTTTCAGCATTTAGGTTCAGACCACTCAAAGCCTTCTCCACTGTGTCAGCAAATGCTGCAGCATTATTGCTAGAAGCTGGAGAAGGAGAATAAGTGTGCACTATTTATAGAAACTGAGTATGATAAGTATGATATGTTTAATGGAATAATGTTAAGTACTGCTAGAAGCTGCACTAAGCACTTATCACTAATCATCTGATAGCCCATCATGCACTACCTTACACCAGGATTGTCTTTTTGCAGCTCTTAAGAACTTTTTTTTCTCAGCTCAGTTTACAACAACAAGATTGCACAGAACATTCTTCATTGTGTGAAATAATGCTTGTGCTTGAGCTATTCTTTTGCTTTCATATATATTACTAGTATTGTTATAATGAGCAGAAAATCACAATGGAAGAGCTGCTAGAGTAGCAGGAAGAGAAAACATTTTAAACAAAGACATCAAAATAATATAATCCTTGTCTGGGTTCCGGGGGCCCTATTAAATGGAAGACAAGAATTGACCCACTGCCTACCCAAAAGCATGTCGTAAGAGTCAACTAATTTGGAGCTTCCTTTGAAGTTGGAGTGTATCTGCCTGAGGGGCTAGGAACCAGGAGTGTGCATCCAAATGACTCAAATCTGTAAAACAAGGACTGAAAACAGCCTTAAGAGTTTATTAGAGAACAAGAGATCAAATTGTTTGGTCATCTGATGAGAATGCCTAGACATAGCCCCACTGAAGAAATATAATGAGCATACAGCAAAAGAGAAAGACTGCGAATGATGGATGACGACATCAAGGGTAACCATCGAGAAATGACCATACTGAAAATCCTCACATCTCCCCAAACACTACACTGAGTTTAACCAGAAGCTGAGGAGGAGAACATGCAGAAGAAAAAGAAAAAAATAAGTAGGAAGAGGAAGGAAGAGAAAGAGGAAAAAGGAGAAATGAAAATGACTGTAGCAATTCTCCCTGTGTGGGTTTCGGGACCCAAATCTGGGGAAAACAGAACAGACCCCCCTGCCTCCCTAACAAGCATGTCGTAAAAGGCAAATAATGAGGAGTTTTGCCTCTGGACTCTCAGTGCACCTGACTGAGAACTGACAACCCAACAGTCCGCATACAAGTAAGCCAGATCAGTAAAAATGAATATGCATGCAAAACTCAAGTTATGGAACAAGATTAAAGTCCAGAAGTGGATGAACAACAAGAACTTTCTGTCGGGAGTTTACAGCTGGCGAATGCTAAGAAGAACTTTCAACTGCATAAACGTTTGCAGCAGCTGCACAAAAGAGAAAACAAACCCTATGAAAAAAAATCGCAATAGCACTTAACAACCAAAACCAAGAACATGAATGAAGCCATCAATGCACAAGGCATCACCCCTGTGACAGTCTACCTGCTTGATCTGCTGAGTCAGCCAGCTCCTCAAATTGTCTCTTCAAATTGGGATCGTTCAACAGCGCACTGAAGGTTTCTTCAAACTGTTTGCTCATGGCATCCGCCAGGAAATCGTAGGAGGCATCTTCAGGTAGGCCATCTTCCTGGGTGATAAGGAGAAATCAATTGGCAGTGAGGAGGAGAAATCTATCACCAATGACAAATCTATCAGCAATGATGAGAAGAAATCTATCACCAATGACAAATCAATCAGCAATGAGGAGGAGAAATCTATCACCAATGACAAATCAATCAGCAATGAGGAGGAGAAATCTATCACCAATGACAAATCAATCAGCAATGATGAGGAGAAATCAACCAGTGATGGTGAGAAGAAATCAACCAATAATGATGAGTGAGAAATCTATCAGTAAAGATGAGGAGAAATCTATCAGTAAAGATGAGGAGAAATCTATCAGTAAAGATGAGGAGAAATCTATCAGTAATGGCTATGAGAAATCTATAAGTAATGATAAGGAGAACTCTATAAGAAATGATAAGGAGACATCTATCAATAATGACTATAAAAATCTATCAGTAATGACTATGAGAAATCTATCAGTAATGAAAAGGAGAAATCTATAAGTAATGACTATGTGAAATCTATCAGTAATGACTATGTTGATCAGGTTGATCTCTTACCTGTGAGACATGGAAAAAGGTGACATGGAAGATACTTAAAACTAGGGCTGTACCGAATATTCGCTTCGTATTCGCTTCGGGGCCGAATAGTGGACCTACTGACTATTCGGTATTCGGCCGAATAGTTGCGGTCGGGCCGAATACGAATAGTAGTTACCTTACACCCGCTTCTGCATACATGGCCTTAATGCTGACAACATGGAACGACTGGTTTTGTTGAAACCTAATGCAGCTTTCATGCAATAACTAAGCTGTCAGTGACAATTTCCAAGTTTAGTTACTTGTTATAATACTTAGAATTGTTTCATTCCTAGTTATTAGTTACCACAAACAACTGAAGGATGCAAAACATAAAATGTTTTTAAATGTTTACTATTCTGTAAGAATACTAACTAAACATGGAAAGAATATAAACTCAGGCCACATCCAAGTCGATTATATGAAAATCAAATGAACAGAAACATATAAGTACTTGGGTGCAAACTTCAACTGCTCCAACACGCTGAGAGAAGAAATACAATCTAGAAATAAAGTATACTATGCCCTTCAACATCTGCTAAAGCCAAAGTGTCTGTCTCGCAACACCAAGATCAAAATATATAAAACGTTGAAAAGACCAGTCGTTTTATATGGCTCTGAAACTTGAAGCAGAAATAAAAGAGATGAGGCCTTATTACAGGTTTTCAAAAACAGTCTTACGACAAATCTTTGGACCCATCAAAAATACTAACAGCGGGGAATGGAAAATGAGAAGCAACAACGTAACACATAATCTGTTTAAATCACCATTGATCACTGGCATCATGAGAGCTAACAGACTATGATGGTTGGGGCATATTAAAAGAATGTCAGATGACAGAGAAGTAAAAACTGTATTCACCTGAGAGAGGAATGGGCGTAGACCACGAGGCAGACAAAAAAGAAGTTCGAGAGATAATGTTCAGCCAGATCTGCAAACAACTGGTGCCACAAACTGTGAAGATAAGGCCAGCCAGAGAGATGAACTGAGACGAGTGATATCTGCAGCAGTAAACCTCAAGGGCTCAGAATGCTAAAGAAAAAGATAACTATTCTGTTCTTCTTTATATGAAGTAAAAGTTCAGCGTACATTTCACATTATGAATGTTTTTTTAAAATATATTTTATACACTATTCGTATTCAGCCGAAAAGTTGGTCCCGCTATAGTGAAAATCACTATTCGGTACAGCCCTACTAAAAACCCATACCCGGAGAGAATGATGCAGCCAGGACTGGCTGTGGGCTCTAGATACCACTTGAGACTCATAGGGAAGGCAAGATGAGTAGTTAACCAGATTACAGTGGGTAACATCAGTATGGGATCTTTTCGCTGTCTGTTGAGGAGGGAGATAACCAGATCATTCTCCAGTGGATCCCGGCTCACTGTGATATACCAGGAAATGAGTTAGCAGACAGAGACAGACTCGCTAAAATTGGAACAAAGGAGAAACAACACACCCATCCATTGTCGTTACCAGAAATCAGAACACTTATCAAGGGAAAATTCAAGGAATTGTAGAGAGAACAAACTAAGGGTAAATATTCACAAGACCCTATCAGCAAACTCAACAGAAAGCAACATACAAAAATTTTCTGTTTTTGAACAGGACACTGCATGCTTAACTACCACATGCATAAAATAAAGATTGTACAGCCCCCACAGTGTGCCTGTCGAACAGGACCACATACACCTGAGCACCTTCTGCAGACCTGCCCACTCTACATACAACTTTGGAAAGACACTTGGCTTCAAGAGCAGAGTGTGCAGAGCAAGCTATGGTGAACCATGCAGGACCTGCAGCTGACATGCGAGTTCATAGAGGCAACCCACCTGATGGTCTGATCTGAGCATACAAAACCGAACGCAAAGAAGAAGAGGGAGATGGAGCTAATATGGGCTTGTGCTGAATGCTGTGATGTCGAATCTTTATACAGATAAACCCAGGTGCTATATACCACAGAGTGATACAAGTGGCCCTATATATACTAAGCACAGTAAGCTAAATGCTAAACCTGCATAACAGAATGTGATGACCTACCGGAAGAAATGGTGTCTTGTTCTGAGGTTCTGAACCCTTCTGATCTGTCCCCGCATTGCCCACAGTATGTGACACAGCTTCGCCACCACTCTCACATTTCTTTGCTGTTTGTTTGACCTTGTCAAAATCTTCTAATGCACCTGTTTAGACAAAGAGTAAAGTTTTAAAAAAAAAACATTTTAATGCCATGAGGCACATTGGGTCAATGGGTGGTAATCAATACTCATGTTGGAAATCTTTACTTTAACATTTTTGGGTACCTATTTGTGTCTGGGTTAAGCTGGAATCCCAGGTCATTTTCTAAAACATCAGACATGGACATCAGACAATGAATCACAACATGCCATATTTGGACAAAACGTTTGATAATGAAGATTCATTGTAGCAACACTTTTTGTTTGTTTGTTTTATTGCATATCATAAAGCTGATATATATTTTGTACAACAGTAGACGTGAAATTTTGAAAACTGGAAACTACCACATTATTATCCCAAGAAACTTATCAGTCTGAATATTTAGGCTTCAAAATAAACAGCAATGGAGACTGTTTAACAGAGGTCAAAAGGAGGATGGCCACAGCAATGCAAAGATTAAACAGTATTAAAAATATATGGTTAAGCACCAGCAAGGAAATCAAGGTTAAAATTTTAAGGCATGAATCATCCCTGTAGCAACATTTGGATGTGAGTCATGTACTATCTCACAGTCATTAAGGAAGGTACTCCACCTTGCCTAAGAGTGTCCTATAGGCTACAGGACTGAAGGTGGCACCTTACTTGTATGATAGAGTATACCCCTGCCTAGATACACAAAGCTGAAAAAAACATATATTTGCAGTGATTTTTGTTTTTGTTTAAAGGATGCAGATAATATCATTGAATGATAGAACAACAAATGAGGTAGTCCTTGAGACAGATGAAAATCGGAAATCAATTACAAAAATCAGACCCAAACAGTTAGAACAGCATTTTTTTTAAAGACATGATATAAAAAGAAATGGACTTGAAAGACTGGTGAAAACAGACAAGACTGATGAAAAAAGAGCAAGCAGAAAGCAATAAGATAAATATCTGAATGGTTTACCCATGCTAATAGGTTAAGACCAGAACACTGACTTGATCTGTGACTATGTTAGATGGTAAAACATAACAGCCCAAACTTAGCGTGGCACACAATGATGATTAGTAGATCAGCTGCTAGTTTTATATTTTGAAAATTGTTTCTCTGCAAATAATCTAGACTAGTTACAAAAAGACCTTTTCCTGGCTTTCAAAGTAAGAAGAGGCTGGGTCGTCACCATATAATACTCCCCAAAGAAAAGAGCTGATGCACATATATCCAGCACAGCAAACACCCATTGTGGAGATAGCAAAATTTTGGTTACACGGATAATAGATAAAACTGTTAAAGAAAATAATGACACACTGGGAGTTCTGAACATGCTTAGGGTCTGCGGGCTAGAAGTTAGTGAATGAGTTTAACCTGGTAAACTTAACCTGGGCACCAAATATCTGCAGAAGTTATATGTCAGCCGAAAGGTGCAAATATCGCAGCCATGTTGTAAATGGGCACCGCGTAATTTTTCTTTAGATGAACCCAGAAGAAGAATGAGTTTATCACCTTCATGATCCACCAGTACTAGGGTCTGATTTCAGTTGAGGACAGGTTATGCAAGAGTCATCCGATACATGTGCCATGCGCTTTTCTAGGCTCTGGATGATGTGAATTCATTAAATGCTTTAACCCTGTTTGTGGTTAGTGATTACTCCTTTCAAATACTTTTATATATATCCGGAAACAATTTAGATATGTAGATAAACATATTTGTCACAAATTTATTAGTAAACTGTGTAAAAATGTTTTTGTTGAAAATTTTTCTGGAATTCTAACTGGATCTTTACTTATTTTTGTAGTGTACCCGGGGTGAAAGGGTTAACGGATTTCTACTGTGTTTTCCTGTGTGGGTCTGAGGACCCACTGAGAGGGGAACACAATAATAGACCCACTGTCTGGTCTCCCTAAAAAAGCATACAATAAGATTCAACTAATTAGGGGTCGCTTCAAAGTTGGAGTGCATCTGCCTGAGAGTTGAGGAACTAACATTCTGCACATAAATAAGCCAGATCTGTAAAATGGATGTGCATGCATAACTCATGTTGTGGAACATGACTAAAGTCCAGAAGAGGACGAACAACCAACCAGAACTCCGTGACATTTACAGATGGTGAATGCAAAGAAGTGTAACCCCATTCTGTTTAATAGATGAGTCAAAAGAGTCAGCTGATGAAACTTGAACGCATACAGAATGAAGCCTTGTGGGTAATTCTGGGAGGTACAAGAGATACCCTGGCAGTATGTATGCCATATATACTTGCACTGCCTACTATTGCAGATAGGCTCAAAGTTCTGCAGGCAAAGTCATATCTCAGAGTAGCTGCGGACAAGAGGCACCTCCTGCGTGAAGCCCTGGATAGAGGTAAGGGTCACAGACTGAAGAAAAGGAAAGTCTTGGACAGATCATTACGGTCTGAGGAGAATGGCACTGCGAGGAGTTGCAAGGGGATCTGGCTGACGCTCAACACTCAGGGAAAAGGCAAGACGAATATACAATCAGAAAGTTACTGGTACGCTTGTTGCTGAAGATGGGGACAGAGCGCTTATGGGGGTGTCCCTAGTGCTGTGATGTCGATTCTTAATTCAACATTAATAGACAAATATCTCATTATCTCCATTACACCAGTGGTGAGCATCTTAAGGATTAAAGGTTACATGAAGTGCAGTGGCCTTAGCCCTAGGGTCACACACACTTTTTAGGGGAGGGGGATTCTGATAATTTTTCAAGAACGACCCATTAATGTATCAACTTAGTAACCTAGGATTCGAATCCAGGTCTCCTGAATGTAAGTAATGCTGTGCCCTAATCACTCGGCTAGTCGCACCTTTAACTTATATACTTAACTTCAACTGAAACTCAAGTGTCTAAAGTAGTAAGTGAATGGCTACCTTTTTCCTAACTGGCTCTCCTTCGAACTTCTACCCCATATTATGGAGGCAAAAAAAAATACCCTAACAGGGCCTCAGTCATGTGTAAAATACGGACTTCCTTCAACAAACACATCGCTGCAAAACTAGGATTACTTGACAATGTCATGACACGCAACACTGCAGACGATAATAGGGACCGCTGACAATTTCGAGACATGCAACATTACAGACGATAATATGGAGATAGTGGGGAGACCACGTGCTCCGATGCAGATTAGCGATAGTGTTCTTCCGATTAAACTCACCGCCGAGCATAATCCCTGCACCGCTACGTGCGGCGCGGATGGGGATCTAAACTAGATGCCTGGAACTCAGGAGCAAATAAATTGGAGGAAGTTGCAGGAGATGCGGTAGCTGCTGCTCATGAGTCCCAGCCATCTAGTTTAGCCCCCATCCGAGCCATGAGTAGCGGCATAGTCGCAGAAGGTCCGCAACTAACATATTGCTGAGACTCTGTTAGAGCATTTGTTTCGTTATTCTGAGTCAATCCTAGTTTTGCAGCGATTTGTTCCTCGGCAGGAACTACGCATATTTCAGACTGAGGCACTGTTAGGGTTATTTGTTTGGCCGCCATAATATGGGGTAGAAGTTCGAAGGAGGGCCTCCTAACTTACTATAATAGTAAAATAGTAGTAGTACTTAGTACTATCGCTCTCCTCCGAACTTCGACCTGATATTATGGCGGCCATAAAATATCCTTACGGGCGCTCAGGCATATGTAAAATGCGGACTTTCTGCCAAGGAACAAATCGCGGCAAAACTAGGATTACTTGACAATTTCAAGAGACGCAACATTGCAGATGTCAATAGCAACCGTTGACAATTTCGAGCGTTTCTGCAGACGATACTAGCAGACGATAATAGTGACCATTGACAATTTTGAGACATTACAGACGATGAAAGTGATATGGCGGGTAGACCACGCGCTCCCACGCAGATTAGCGATACCGTTCTTCCGATTGAGGATTTAGCAGAGGTAGATGTCAGACCTGCCGACCTGTATCGAGTAATGACCGATAAACTGGTATGGTTGCAATGGCTGGCTACCCACAGGCTAATACGCAACTCACATGTATGTTCTTCCTGCCAGGGTGATATGTCGTTGGCAGCGCGGCAGGTGGCCTCTGACAGATACTCGTGGCGCTGTTGTCGCTGTAGTACTCAGTGTAGCGTGCGCACTAGCTCGTTCTTTGCCAGATGCAACATGTCAACTGAGAAAATAGTCATGATGATGTTTTACTGGCGTATCCCCGGCGCCGCTGTGCACGGCGTGGATGGGGTAACTAAACTAGGTGCCTGGGACTCACAAGCATATTAATTGGAGGAAGTTGCAGGAGATGCGGTAGCTGCTGCTCGTGAGTCCCAGCCATCTAGTTTAGCCCCCGGGGATTACTGTCGGCGGTGAGGCAGTCACAGAATCAGTAGCTACTTCAGTCAAATTTTTAAAATGCCCTCTACACCAATAAAACCAACACAGTTAGATAGCTGTAAACAATCTCTTTCCAATGGTACCTCATTTAGGCTTGTATGTCATTTCTGACCTGAGATATGTAGGTTTTTGTGGAGATGAGATGTAAGAAACAGCCGCTAAAACTTGTGACCCAGAAACAAGAAGTTTTTTACTGCGCAACCTACTGCGCAGTTTCTGTATCGGCTTTGTTGACATTGGACTGTCATTGGACAAGATGGCAGGCAGTGAGACTCAGCTCACTCAGCCGCATGCGATTGCCTAAAAAATGTCACTGTAAATCTAAACAGCCAGAGTCGGGAAAAAAAATTTAATATGCAAATGTAAAATTGGACGGAGAATTCAATTGTAACTAGCATTACCACAACTGGTAATGTTTAAGCCTAAAGCCAACCTCGAATTTACCGCTATTTTCAATCAAACTGATAGACTAACAGAAAAACAAAGAATGTCCGGCTGTCGTAGACATGCGCTGTTAATCGGGTTCCTTCCCGCCGTTTTCAGCTATTTAGAGTGGGTGAAAATCACACCAATGGCAAAATTTCATGAGATTAGGACCCATCCCGAAACCCCAGCCGACATTTCCGAAACAAGTTTTAAACGGTTTCTATGGTAACGGAAATTGTCGAAAAGATAGCAAATTTCCGGATCTGTGGTCCCTAGAATCAGGTCCGCAAGTCCCTGAGACCCTGTTACTGTTAGAGTTAGAGCATTTGTTTCGTAATATGGAGCCGGCATATTTTTAATAAAACTGAGCCCCGTAGCCGTAAGGATATTTTATGGTCGCCATAATATCGGGTCGAAGTTCGGAGGAGAGCCGTATATCTATCATTATTCATTATCTATCTATCAATAATTTTTTATTATTTTTAGTTTTTGAGATTACAATTACAGTAATGCAAGTTAACGTAACCAAACGAAAAATCTCACTGTCAAGAATAGCTTCAAGCTCTGCATCTACACTTTTCGCAGCTTCTGTCTTCAGTGCTGACGAAGAATTGTCCACGGAGGAGCTCCGGTTTTCCTCATCTAAATTCCCACTGTCACCTTTGGACGCCATGCTGAAAGAGTGAAAGGTAAACTCGTCGTATGTAAACACTTTCGCAATTTTCTTCTCTGTGTAGCTGTCATTACTGCCTGTGTTTACGGCTTCTTGGTGTAGGGCAGGGGATACTGAGCCTAATGATTTAGCGTCGCATGGCTAGTCAGTCGCCACGAACTGTGCAGGTTAGGATCGTTATTTGGTCATTACAGAATAAAACTATTCTCCGTTTAAGGCAGACCTTACCAGCTTCTCCAGTTTAATACATACTGTTATCAGAGCTTTTTCCCCTATACAAAAACGGTCCCGATGCCTACCACAAAATGTATAAAAAACATTGTGTGCGTTTTTCGTTGGCACAGGAGCGGAGCAACTATGGGGTGACCAGTTTGCTATGAAGCTGAAACTAAGATTACCAGATTTCCAGTATAAAAAAACGGTGTCGGTTCTCATTACAAAACAGCATCTCACATCCATGAATTAAGAATGTAAAAAAAATAATATGAGAATTACCACTAAAAAGACGTAAGTAATGGCAATGGGAAGAAATAAGCAAAACTAAATATATAGCAGCAGAATGCAAACGCATTAAACAGGTATCTGAGTTTCAATATCTAGAAACAATATTCGTCAAAGATTGAAAATTTGATGAAGACATTAACATCCGAAGCAGTAAAGTAAGCCATAAACTGGAATAACTAGCCCCATTCTTAAAGTACATAACAATCCCAACCAGCACAAAGAAACATTAAAAGCATTTTCATTCCCACTATATTCTGCCGGTGCTAATCAAGGCCACACACAACTAACCAGAACAGAAAATTTGTAAAATTTGCAGGAGTGACCAGAAGCGATAAAATCAGGAATGTGGTCATAAAAAGAAGGGGGAAAAGGTCAGCACACAACCAGTTCTAAATTACGTTCAAAAACTGCAAAATCAAATGCTTTGCCCATTTAGGGAGAATATCTTGTGGTTCGAGGAGCGGTTGGTCGAACGGTTAGAACGCTGGTCTCTCAAGCGGGAGACCCAGGTTTGATCCTCGGTAAGGCTGGGGATTTTTTTCTGTCAGGGACCTGCACAGTCGTGGCGACAGCACTAGCCACGTCACCGTAAATCCTCAGGCTCAAAGACACCTCCCCCCACCCCCTTCCCGGGGCCTACACCACAAAAGTGGTATCACAAAGACAGTAATTGGCAGTTGACCTTGTGGTTCGATTCTCGCCACGGACGGTTTTAGTAAAAAAAAAATGTTATCGTAGTAATCAGACAGTGCTACGAGAGGTCGCACCTCGAAAGAGAGATCTATAGTATTTCTAAAGTCAGAATTAACTAGCTTTGGAATAAAACACAATAACAAAAAACAGTAAGAACTGCCCGGCAATAAAGCTTTCATGAGCACTAAACACAATACAAGGACAAAAGTACAACTACACAAAGAAGCCTTTTCCATGACATAAGCCCAAATGGATACAGGGTGCTAGACCTACATTAGCTACATACCTGTTAACTTCCCAGGACTTTAACTAGTACCCGTTCAAAGCTGTGTCGACCTGGGAGGCATTGTCATTTTTTAAACAAGTCTGGTCCGTTAATATTCGAACACATGACCTTAAGATCCGCAGGCGAGCGTCTAACCTCCACCTCACGACGGCCCCCTTCAGCTACAAATGATTTGATTTGATTTGATTCAGGAACCGACATCACAGGACTCGGTGCATTCCCATAAGCGCTTTGTCCCCATCTTCAGCAGCCAGAGAAGAGTTCCGATACTAATGGTGCCAGTAGCATCCTGATTAAACGTTCGTCCTGCCTTTCCTCTGAGCCTCGAGCATCTGCCAGAACTTCTCGTCACTCCCCGCTGCATCAATCTCACCAGACTGTGGTGATCCATCTGTTCCTCCGAACTGTACACGCTCTCCCACAAGGTACTAACCACGTCTGCCTTATCATGTATCAGCGTTCCACCAAGTTGTGCAGAGCCAGCCAGTCTGTCCGCCTGTTCATTTCCCAACACACCGGCGTGACCCGGTGAAAAAATCCAGACAATACTCCTCACCCGTGTCCTCCGTAGCGAAGCATGCCACTCTGCACGAAGCATACCTGTTCTGATCTTCCTCAGCATGCTTTCTGAATCAGTTACAATCACGATGTGTGTGTGTCGTGTTCTCTAGCCAGCGGAAAGCTGCAGTGAACGCCTCCACTCCCATTCTTAAGCTGGATGTTGTGGTATCATATGCTAGTCTTTTTTGCATCAAAAGTCGACCATTAACTTTTGCTAAGAAGCCCCACGCACTTCTTTAGCCTCTTGACACTGAACCGTCTGTGTAAATGATCAAATCCTCTGAGCGAGCATTATCTTAAATTAATTGCTGGATTTCCATCTCTGTGGCATCTGCTGGCCAGTCTCTGCATTCCCGGCTCAGTGTGATAATGACCCTACACAAGTCTGACTGTTCAGGTGTTATAGCTGCATAAAAAACTACTTATAATAACATCTTTTGGCGGTGTGGTTTTGCTGGACAATGGTGCGTTCGGTAATTTGCTGTAGGAAGAGGAAACACGTAGAACAACTAAAACATGTTGAATGCTAAACTCACGTTAGTGTGTATGCCAGAGAAAAATTAAGCGTAAGTGCACGTTAATAGTCATGAAATGACGAAGTGAGAGTTGATTCGTGAGCCACTTGAGTTGTGAAAACATAGATGGCTTAGGATTCACGGGTGGACTGCAGAACCCCATGGCATTTCTCGCAGATAGGAGAGCTTCTAACAAGTTGATTCAGTCACTATTCCTCTTAAGAATAGTTTGTACGTGTGCAAGAATTGTTCAGGTCATTTTGAGGGCGTGAATGTGTGTTCCTTTATTTCATGGAGCGCTTGGACTGTGCAAGTGAATTTGGTTATCATAAGTTAGACTGAATGATGTTAGTGTATTTATCTACAATAGTTGGCACTGGTGCACCTTTGTGTCACACTGGTTGACTGGGACAAATATTTGCATGTTCTACGGAGTTTGCCGTTGGAACTCGTAGTGGATAGGTATGTAAGTAAAGTTCCCTTTTCACGCCTTTCGGCGCATCGGGCATATGGGCAGAGCGTCCCATATTTTTACAGACCATCAGCACTCTGTGGGTAATGTGGTCAGCATTACGCCGGCTGTCTTTACTTTCCCAGGACAGCCCATCCTGGTACCCATTTTAGGCTGGGTCCACCTGCGACGTCCCATACCACGACAAAAATCCTGCAGTGGGTTTCGATCCCGGTATGCTGGCTTACGAGTCGGACTCGCAACGCCTTAGCCACGGACGCCGATGGATAGGTATGGGGTTGTGATAAAGGGGTATCGAGAATACTTCAGTGATTGACATGGTAACAGACCGTGGTCTGGATTTTCTTTACCAGGTTTAGTGCGTCTGATTAAGGTTCTCAGATGGATAGAGAGCCATCAGAGGACGGGCTAAGGACATCAACAAGATATATCTGCGTGGTCAAGAAGAAGTTGCTCGTAGCAGCCACGTGGACATAGATTGCAGGAGTTTATTGTGGTCTCTTGTGTTCTGGAGACTGTCGATGTGGTTGTAGTTGGCAGGAGGTAGTAGACAGATGTTATTTACTGATCGCCATTTCATCAACAATGTGTTCGTCCATATTAAAGAACACTGACTGCACTATCATATCATACTTGGTTTGGTGTATTACAGTACTCCTAGACAGTGTTAGTGGTTAAGATGGAACCTATTACTTCTCGGTGCCTTATTGTGGTGCTCCTGTTGTCGATAGTTTCCTTGCTCTCTTCGGGGACCATTAGTCGTTTTCTTTTGCAGGAACTCTTTTGTGTGTGGGGTACTGACGCTGTGAACTTTACCCTAGACCAGTGGTCGGCAAATCGCAACTCGCGAACCGCATCCGGCACTTTATCGACCTGAGTGCGGCTCGGCCAGTTGGCGATAAATCGCTTTTGACTCCGAAAAACATTGTGCTTGACAGGTTCTTGAAAAGAAATTTGGTTCTCCACAAATTTTTACTCGTCCTGCAACTGATTTTTGGCTCTTTTTGACTAAAGAGTTTGCCGACCCCTGCCCTACACCAAGGGTCTGGCGTTCAACATGGTCAGGTGGCATGCGACTACCGATCCGATAGGCTCACTATGCAGAGCAAAGCAGACGCTCGAGCTCGTATTGCTGCTTGCAGAAAAGCTCCAGGCCATGGACAATATACTAGACGCCAAGGGTTAGATGGCACCGTGGACCAAGCAAGGATGAGGGCCAACGCGAGAGCCAGTCCTACCGTTCCTACCTCCCCCACTTGCTTCCTCAAGGCTGTGTAGATCTCTAAAGGTAAAACCAACAAGGTCGCATACGCTCCATCAATACTTGACTGTGCGAGGGACTAGGTTCCTGGCAGTAGACCTGCCAGGTTTCGAGAAGTACCCAGAATCAATCTGGAAGATCAGCCTGAGACCCGACATCGTCCTGCATTCTGCGGAAAAACGCCAGCTCATCCTGATAGAGCTGACCGTGTCGTACGAGTCGCGGATTGAAGAATTATCACATGTACAAGCTCAAAAAATACCGTAATCTGGTGGCCGGTCTGAAGAGAGGTGAAGCGTACACAGTTAAAATATTCGCCTTCGAGGCAGACGCAAGAGAACTCGTCTCCACTTCCACATACAATGTACTAAAGCACTTGGGCTTGCAAGGAAATGAAAGGAAATGGGGACTAAAACAGCTGGGCGAAGCTGCTGAAAAAGTTTCGAGCTGGCTTTGGACACAACTGAACGTCGTGGGGATGGACCTTGGTAGACTGGTCCGAGCTCCTAGTGGAAAAGAAATTGTCATCCCTATAAATTCAAAGTGTCCGATAAATGTCTACCAGTGTCTCTCTGCCAAATGCCACAGTCTAACACCTGTCTGATGAACCAGCTAATGTGCTAATGAAGGCTCACTAGCCGCAACGTTCAACTGTCGTTTATGACTGTGATTATATGAAGCTGAATTTGTTTAGTTTGACATCTTTTT